TTTTTATAACTGGGTGTGGTAATGCACGCCTTTAATCCCAGCACTTGGTAGCAGAGGCAGGTAGACTGAGTTTGGCTGGCTACATACTGACTTGTAACCAGGCTACATACTGAGATCCAGACCAGTCACAGCTACATAGCCAGACCTTATCTAAAAAAATTTATTTTCTATTTTTTGGGAATTGTATACATGCATACAGTGTATTTTGATTATAATTATCTACCAGCTCCTCCCAGATCTACTTCAAATTCCTGTCCTTTTTTTATTTTTTAAACACTAATCAGTTTGTGCTGTGTATACTCATGGGTGTGGGACCATCCACCGAGTGGGGTCAACCTGCCCGGGGCTACACCTTAACTGACTTTCATTCCCACACATTATCATTAACTATCAATGGCATCTCTGCTAGGGGTGGGGCTTCATTCTGGTGTGTTTACTAATTTGATCTTATGCAGGGACCACAGCAGCAGTGAATTTATTTTAATATTACCTTCAGCCCTGTGATCTATCTAGAATGAATTTTCATTGATAATGTAAATTATGGAATATTCCAGTATTTGTTGAAAGTACAATCCTTCCCTGATGACTTGCAGTAGTGTTTTGTTTAGAACAAGCGGCCATATTGCTTGTCATATGCCACTCTAGATGCCATAATCCCGTCTACCTGCTGCTTGTGCCAATGCCACACTAGCTTCATTGTAGATGTCGGTTTTTACACACTGTAGTATGAGCGCCCCGGCTTGTAGAGTTCCTTACTTTCTTAACTATGTTTTATCCAACTGAACATTTAGAATGAGTGATAATCTTCACTAGAAAATGATTACTGAGTTTAGATTAGCATTAATTGAATCTATGGTTTGGTATGGGGAATTAATATAGCATTTTTGCTTAGTTCTTGTTTACATTCATTGCCTGTCTTTATTTATTAACTTAGAGCTTCTTTAAATTTTCCTAGCAGTAAATGGCAGATATGGTACATTTGTGCTGCTCTGTACTTGATAACTTTTATTGGTGGTATTTTAAATGACATTTATTTTCATTTTTCAGTGACTGCTGCTTTGTAGGAACATAGTAGCTATTTCTTAAAACATTGACCTTGTATCGAGATGTCTTAGTGACTTGACATTGATTTCAACATTTGTAGGTATTTTAATAAAGATATCCCACATAAGCAATTATGGCCTTTGTGAGTAAAGACAATTTTACTCACAAGTGTTGTTTTTTTCTTTTGAGCCTCTTATGCCCTCCATTTCTGCCTTTGGCATTTCTTTGCTGGCTAGAGCTTTGGTTGTGAATATTGAAATTCTAATCCTGAGCCAGTTCAGCTCCATATGTACTCTTCAGAGAACAATCTGTGCTGACTGAAACGGAAGGAACTTCTGTTTGCTTTTGTCTTGTAGGAAGCTGCAGCAAAGGAGGAAGAAGACGACATTTCTGACAAAGGCAGCGACTCTGAAGAGGAAGAGACCAACAGAGAGTCCCAGAGTGAGAAAGAGGACGGCAGTGACAGAGAGTCTGATAGAGAGCAAGATGAGAAACAAAACAAGGACGACGAAGCAGTAAGACCTGATGTCCCCACCGCGCTGTGCTGAGGACAGAGCCCAGTGCACACCTAACTCCAGACTGATAGTTTAAATCACTTGGAGCAGGTTTCGAATGATCCCCGGAGCTGGTTTTTTCATTCCTTTGCTTGTTTACTTGCCTTAAAAACTCATTCATTTTTGAATTTTAGTACTTTAAGAGTGCATTTGTTTTGAGGAATTCCTGTCAGGGATTCTAAAGAAAAATTGTTTCAGACAAGGATTGGAATCCCAGTTTTCTTAAATTTGTTGAAATTACAAAGTGGAGCAGGTTCTGTGTCTGAGTGAGACTAGTTTGACCTCCTAAGGAAATTTTCAGTGATGATGGAAGGTGTCGGTGGAAATAGGAGTGAGGGAAGGTGGCTGTGAGACAGGAGCAGTCCATGGAAGGTTCTCCATGGGCTTCCAGGTCATACTGAGAAGAAATATCACTGTGGACCTGATTGGAGAGTCAGTTAAAGGGAAAGCTTTTAGAGTGTCACCTTGTTTGTGTAAGGTAACTAAGAGTTGATGAAGATGGTGAGGTACACTGTGTGCATGAAATTTCACTTGATTTTTGGGAATGATACAGAAAAGAATATGCTGGAGGCTTTTTACAAATGAAGTATAAACTGATGGCTGTTCACCTGCTCTTTTGACTGGGTTTGATCTAAAAGTAACCCTTGTGGTATGAGATAGAAAACGTGATCCCCTGAATAGTCTCTGAGGCAGGAGGGGAATCCTGGAAGAAGTAGGGAGTGGGGTCTTTAGTGCTTTTAGACTTAAGAGAATTACAGAGGTTGTTTCCTCAGCTCCACTCTAAGAAAGGTTTGCTGTGTCGTTTTCTCAGAGGCAAATCAAGGTTTTATAGACAAGTAGACAAGTTTTTTTTTTTTTTTTTTAATTTATTTATTTATTTAGGATCTCACCATGTAGCTCTGGCTGTCCTGGAAGACCAGGCTGGCCTTGAACTCACATATATCTGCCTGCCTCTGCTTCAGTGCTGGGGTCAAAGGCATGCATCACTACGCCCAACTACAGACGAGTTTCTTTAGAAGACCAAAGAAAAATCATTAGCCAACAGATTCATAGTCTATTCATCCTAAGCATGATTTAGTCCACAGAGTCCAGGACAAATACAAAGTAGCTTTTACCTTTGAACGTCCTGGCTGTCAGGGCCAGCAGACTTAATATAAACGTTGTGGTATGTACAAGAGCTAATCCATGTTATGCAAGCTGTTGTCATGGCTTCAAGGTGTGATCAGCTGAGTTCTGAGGTAGAGGAATATTCATGTAGGCTTTCCTTGGGAGTTCATACATTAGGACTTCACTGTCCTGCAAGAACCAGGAGTAGGAGATTATAGACTGGGGTGTGAACAGAAACCCGCAGAGGGTTGAGGGCATGTGAAATGCTTTGGTGACTTCAGAGACGTGTAGGTAGTTATGATGACAAGAATACAAAGGACAAGGAAGAAAGCCGTGTACACCAGGCTCAGGGTCAGATCTCAGCAGCAGTGCCAGCATGCTGTGGGGCTTAGAGGCCCCGTTAAGTTCGTGCCAGACAAGGGTGAGATTTGTGGAAAGAAGGAACTTCCAATCCTCAGTAGCTGCTTGGCATTGTCGAAAGTAAAAGCTGAAACTCCTCTGAATGGTCTCTGCACCATCCCAGATTTCAAGTATTTCAAGTAGTCTGTTCTTTTTCTCCTAGGAGTGGCAAGAATTACAACAGAGCATACAGAGAAAAGAGAGGGCTCTCCTGGAAACCAAGTCAAAGATCACACACCCTGTGTATAGTCTCTACTTTCCTGAGGTGAGCTGCACCCAGCCTGGTGTTTCACTGTTCCATTTCTTCTTTCCATGTGTCTCTCATTGGATTTTATTGCTGCAAAGTGTAATAACTGGTTTATTTTTGATAGGTCATTATCTGAGTTAGGGTTTATTGCTGTGAAGAGACACCATGATCACAGCAACTCTTACAAAGGAAAGCATTGGATTGGGTCTGGCTTGCAGTTCAGAGGTTTAGTCCACTATCATCATGGTAGGTGGCATGGCAGCGTGCAGGCAGACACGGTGCTGGAGAAGGAGCTGCGAGTTCTATATCTGGATCAGCAGGCAGCAGGAAGTAAATAGACTTGAGCTTCTGAGAAGCCCGCCCCCACAGTGACACACTTCCTTCAACAAGGTCACACTTGCTTTAACAAGGCTGCACCTCCTAATAATGGCACTCCCTATAGGTCAAGTATTCAAACACCTGAGTCTATGGGGTCGTATCTGTTCACACCACCACAGGCACCCTCATAGTAAAGGATATATTGTAACATGAATTACCTTCTGTGAATATGTTGTTTACAGGGGGATAAACTTTTTAAGTTTATGTGATTCCCTATGCTTCTGTCATCTCTGCTCCTCTTACTGAGTCTTGTGTTTAATGGCTGTTTGCATTTGGTAGTGAGAAGAGGCTTTATAAGATGAAGGCAGTATTTTGACTTTGGTGACTTGGCTGTTCTGAGTCGTTCAGCCCCATGAAGTTCTAAATAGGATGGAAGATTCTTCTCTCTGAGGGTTCCTTACTAGCTCCTTGTACCACGAAACTTGTTTTTGACCCCAGGAACTATCATCGTTTGTGGAGTGTATGAGCCCATGGGTGGTAGTTAATGGGACCAGCTCCTTTGGGCTCTGAGCAAAGTTGGGCAAGAACTGAGCAATACCCAAACTGAGGACCAAGTATCACAGTGCCATCTGTGCCATTGTCCTGCTCACTTTTGAATGACCTGGCTCACTCTGTTGTTGGTCTGGAAATGACTTTGGAATTCCTTTGACATTTTGCTTTTGAAAATGATTCTGTCTTGGAGCTGAGATCAAGTGCTGGTTCCTCTAGTTCATAGAAACTGATCCATGGCCTGCTTCACAGCTTTGCCACAGAGCCTTCCGCTCTCCTCATGCTTGGACAGCAGTGGGTTAATGTATACAGTCTGCTTTCTTTTTTTTTTTTTTTTTTTTTTTTTTTTTTTGGTTTTTTCCGAGACAGGGTTTCTCTGTGTAGCTTTGCGCCTTTCCTGGAGCTCACTTGGTAGCCCAGGCTGGCCTCGAACTCGCAGAGATCCGCCTGCCTCTGCCTCCCGAGTGCTGGGATTAAAGGCGTGCGCCACCAACGCCCGGCTACAGTCTGCTTTCTGTTTGAGAATATCAGTCCAAAGATTTGGGGGCCTTCTAAGTCCAAGTCCTAAATGACTTAGATTTCCTAGCAAAAAGTAAGTGGCTTTGCACAGACTGTTGTTTGGACTTGGAGTAAAGTCAGCCCAGGGTTCCATCTTAATATTCATGCTGATCTTCTGACATGGCTTATGTTTTAACCCATCTGATAGGGGCATTTTGCCCATTGAAGTGATAGCCTGCCAACACCAGGCTTCCTGAAACCAAGCAAGTAAGTTCTGCGTGTTGATTGGTTTAAAAAATCAAACAAACAAAAAAGTGTGGGATGAGGTAAACACTCATCCTACATAATTGGTTCCCATGTAACTTACAGTATCATTTTAGATCACGCTTAGTTAATAAGCAAAAGCATTGACTCCCTTGAAGTGTTTTATCCTCAGAAATGCCTTTTCCTACTAGAGTCTGAACCTCATGGTCAACATTTGAAACTCATGATCTGTGTGCCATATGTGGTCCACAATAGCAATGATTGTAGCCTAACACAAAATCATAAACTTAAAACATTGAAGGGTTTTTGTAATTTATTTATTTGTTTATTTTTTGTAGTGTGAGTTTTATAGATGATAATGTTTCACAGTGTCTAAAGGTTGCCTGCCCCCTTATCTCCTAAAGGTCTCACCATGTGGCCCTGGCTGGTTTTGAACTCACACAGGTTCATCTGCCTCTCTAGTGCTGAGATTAAAGGCATGTGCCACCGAGCCTGCAGCCTGCCTGCTTTTGCACATGATGCTATTCGTGAACAAAGTCTATTTGAGCATAACTTTATTCATTCTTTTCTCACTGCAACAGCAGATCTGAACACCCACAAAAGTCTCCATTAGTATTGATTGTTGAGATTGTAGGTTCATATAAACTGTGTATACACGAAACACACACACACACACACACACACACACACACACACACACACACACACCATCAATCATTCTGCAGCCTCATCAGTCCTCAAGTTAAGCAGAACTAAATTTTTTTTTATTAGGCGCTGCTCTCCTCATTGCACATTTGTGATTTACATATTAGCCTTATTCATGTTAATTCATGCTAAGTGCTTTGTGGCCTATGGCATTTAACAGAAGAGCTTTTAGTTGAGTCTAAAGTAGCATTGTTAAACAGATACACAAGTAATCATGGAAAAGACAGAAGAGTCAGTCAGATGAGTCGGCAAGTACATGCACCTCCTATCAGCCCTGCTGACCTGAGCTCCAACCCTGGGAGCCACATGATGGAAAGGAGAGGACTGACTCCACTGGTTGTCCTCTGACCTCCACACATGTGTCATAGCACACATACACCAACATACATGTAAATATAAAAATTAAACATTTAAAAAATATTAAGATAACCAAGCACGACAAAATGTTACCAAGCCACCTTAAAGTGTAAAATAAAATGGAAGCCGGGCATTGGTGGCGCACGCCTTTAATCCCAGCACTTGGATCACAGAGAGATCCTCACAGAGGCGGATCTCTGTGAGTTCAAGGCCAGCCTGGGCTACCAAGTAAGCTCCAGGAAAGGCGCAAAGCTACACAGAGAAACCCTGTCTCGAAAAAACAAAAAACAAAAAAAAAAAAAAAGGAAAAGGTATTGATTTGTGTTTAAAAATAGAAATATTGCCCAGAGAAATGATTTCAATAGAATTTCTCTCTTTTCTTCCTGTAAAAAAAACAAAAACAAAACAATAAACAAAACAGAATATCTTTGTGCCTATCGGTAGAATTTTCTTTTTTTTTTTTTTAAGTGTTGGAAACTTGAGAGTTTAGGATAGGATAGCGCTATTTTGGCTAAATGTATATTTAGCACATACTGGAGTTTATTTTTAGCTTCCAACATTTTTCTTTAAAACATGGTATCTTTCCTACTCAGTCCTTAAAACAGGTGATACTAAGCACATGTCTAGCAGTGGTTCACTAATGGGAAATGTAGCATAGTGATGGTACTGGGCACACTGAGCCTTAGTGCATGCAGACTGCTAGGCCTTGTGTTTATTAATAAAATCATTTTCTGTCTTTGTTCTGTCATTTCTCATTCCCAGCTCTCATTGCGTATTATAGTGGCGGTTCCCTAATGAGCTTCTTGTTGTTCTGATCTTTCAGAAGTTCAGCTAGAAATGCTGACCTTATTAAAATAGTAGTGTGCAATGAAAGATGGATATAAGCTCTTAAGATCTGAGGTGTTCTCTCTAAGTGTGAAGTGTTTAATGCATTGGTATTTTTGTTGGGCTGCCCAAGTAAGTCCCTTCCACTCAGTAGAAGTGTCTATCACTAGGTAGAATAACTGGTTTTTGTGTATGATGCGCTTAATTATTTTCCCTTTTTAGAATATCATTTATCATTTTAAAGTAAACTACAGATTTTTAATATTGAGAACCATTAATAGGCTTAATTCAAGTTGTTGAGACTCCAGAAGTTATATGTAGAATTATTTGGGGAATAGTGAATGTATCTTGCAGTGGGTTTGTTCATCTGCTAGGCACTGTATCAGTGCTGAAAATGTAGCACTGACCAGGACAAGGATAGCATCTCTAAACTAAGACAAGGGAAAGCTGGTTCTCCAGTTCTTTCTGACAACTCATGCTCTTTTTCTTCTTTGCAGGAAAAACAAGAGTGGTGGTGGCTTTATATTGCAGACAGGAAAGAACAGACATTAATATCCATGCCATATCATGTATGTACACTGAAGGATACAGAAGAGGTAATTAACCAACAACACTTCTGTTTTAATATCTTCACCTTTATGATGCTTCATGAAATTTTGTTGGTTTTCCTGGAACTCGCTTTGTAGACCAGGCTGACCTCGAACTCACAGAGATCTACCTACCTCTGCCTCCCAGGTGCTTAGATCAAAACCATGCTCCACCACTGCCCAGCTTCATTAAATTTTTATTAATTCAACTTTTTGTATTTTTGCTCGTTGTATATTTTTTGTTGTTGTTGTTGTTGTTGTTGTAGTTAGCTTCAAACTCCCTATGTAGCTGACACTGGCTTTGAATTCCTGATCCTTCTACCTCTATTTCCCAAGTTTTGGGATTACAGACTTGCATTACCATACCTGGCAACTTACTGTAGGCGGAAGTTTCTGTCCCACCTGCCAATTCCCAAATGACCGACAGGGAGATTCAATATTAATTACAAAGGCTTGGCCTATAGCTCAGACCTGTTACTAACTAGCTCTTACAGTTACTAATAGCTCTTACAACGTAAATTCACCCATTTCTATTAATCTATATATTGCCACATAGCTTGAGGTTTTACCTGTCCTCCAGCATGTTTGCTCCCTCTGTGTCTCCTGGAAACTCCACTGACTCCACCCTTCTTCCTCCCAGTATTTCAGTTTGCCTGTCCCACCTGTACTTCCTGCGTGGCTACTGGCCAGTCAGTTCTTTATTAACCAGTGAGAGTAATACATATTCACAGTGTACAGAAGGATTATTCCACAGCAACTTAGATGTTGTTTGTCATAAGACATTTTATAATTATTATCTGATATTTTAGGATGAGTCATTTGAAATCCCTAAAGAACTGTAGAAGGTAGGCAACTTGGCCAGTCTGTTGAAAACATGTTTGAGGCAGTTTCCCCATCACTGTCTACAAACATAAGCCTCCATGTTTCCTCTCCAGACTCCAATGATATCATACCTGAAGAGTTAAAATGGTTTGTTCTTACTGGATTACTGCTAAGTAGACTATACTTTGTCTTGAAAATTCCAAGAACTGGCAATTTACTGTTTCAGAATGGAGGTTTTGTTTTTGTTTTTGTTTTTTTAAATTGAAGAGAGGAGGACTAGAGAAGATGGTTCAGTGGTTAAGAGTAAATGCTGCTCTTCTAGAGGATCTGGGTTTGGTTCCCAGCACTCACCTGAGGGGCTCATGCTAGCCGCCAACTTTAGTTCTAGAGTATCTGGTGGCCTCTCCAGGGCCTTGCACTCACGTGTATGTGTATACACACAAGCACACCTAATTTAGAAGGAAAATAAATTTTATTTTAAGGGAGGGAGGATTAATTTTAGAAAGTTCATCCATGTTTGGCAATTCATCTAGTTCCTTGGCAAGGTAAAGACATGGAAGCACACTTGTTCATCTAATGGCAGCCAGGATGGGGGGGGGGGCGGCGGCGCGGGGGGATGGACACGGGACTAGGGAAGGGCCAAGAATAAGAGGTAGTTCTCATAGGCACACCCTTCCTATGACCTACCTTCTCTAGCCAGGGCTCACCTCCTGTAGCCCATCACTTTCCAATAATGTCATCAGATTATGTTGCCATCAAAGATTAATTATTTATTGCATCATAGCTCTCAAGTTCAAGACACACCCAGAAACATGTTTTACTATTCTAGGTATTTCTAAGTTCAGTCAATTCAAGATTGACTGCCATAATGGCATTGTGATGAAGAGTTGCTTAGTCATTATGTTATGTTTACTCTCAGGATCTGTAGTCTGTTGTACTTAGTGTGTGTGTTCTTTTTTAAGGAAGAAAGCTCTCTCTGTCAGCCTGGACTTAGTGGACAAATTTCAAGATCGTTGTAGATATTGACTGTTTTAGTCAGGGTTCTGTAGAGGAAAGAATTGATAGAATGAATGAGAGGGAGAGACAGTGTGAGGGGGATGGGGGCTTAGAGGCTGTGGTCCAGCCAGTCTAAGAATCCAGTAGTTGGTCAGTCCCTAAAGCTGGATGTCTCCGCTGGTCTTCAGTATATGTTGGACTCCCAAAGAAGTAGGCTCGAAGGCCAGTGAAGGAATTCCTCAGCAACAAGATACATGAACTTGACAATGAGAATGAGAACAAAAAATGAGGATAAAAAGCAAAAACTGCTTTTCTTCATGTCCTTTATATAGGTTACCACCAGAAGGTGTAGCACTACAATGCCCAGACTTTTTTTTTTAATGGCCTTTATTTATATTATAACATCAACTGCAAAAATCTGGAATTTGGAGATTAGAGGCAGAATACTAGAGCAAGAAAATGTCATTTTGAAGAATGTATTCTTATGCTCATATAGAATTGAAATCTCTGTTACTATTTGTACTTATGTTTATGATTTGATGGGAAATAAAGTACTGTTTTGGACTTGTTTTTGTATAGTTTCCTGTAATTTATATTTTATTTTTCTTCAGTGATTAGATGTTAGCATGGTAAAGAGCCTTATTAAAACTAATAAATTATTTATTGAACTATAAGGGAGTAAAAATATGTAATTCTTTTAAAATTTGTTTTTATTTTTTGAGTTTCATATATGAATATAATGAATTTTAGTTGTTTTTAATGTCTCCATTGTCCCTTCTGATTTCTTTCCTTGCCCTCTGAAACTATTTTCGTAGCGGTGTGTGTGTGTGTGTGTGTGTGTGTGTGTGTGTGTGTTCGTTCCCACTGGGTTTCATTAGGATGCTTGCATGAGCATGGGTGGGAAGCTATTTACTGGTGTAGGCAACTTTAACCACTGAAAAAATGACACCCTTGCCCCCCAGTAACTATTAACTGGCAACAGTCCCCTGGGTTGTGGGGCCTTGATGAAGTCTAGTTTTGGGAAGGTGACCACTGCTGCAGTGGGTGGAGAGTCTAGTGGCTGTCGTCCTCGAGACTTCTTTGTACAGCTTACCTCCCCTCTGGCCCTTAGATTCTTCCTGCCCCTTCTGCTCTGAGCCTTGAAGGGTCTTTCTGGGTGTTTAAGGCATAGATAATTTATCCTGGAAATAAGAGAATTTGGCAGGAATTACTTTTTATCTAGCCAAGTCTGTTATTTAATTACATTTCATTTAGTTACACTTTCATTCTTTGCTTAATTTCTTTTGAGTGTTCAAGGTGACAGCATAGAATTTGGTGACTTTAATAGGCTTTCTTGAATTGTATACATAGAAATGAACCTCAGTAGTTCTGCTTAACTTGATTCCTTTTTGTTTTGTGTATATAATAGATAAAATAGAGTTCACACATGTTTGTTATTGTGAGAGTTTCTGTAAATCATCTGAGGCACTACCAGGCTCCTAAGTACTCTGAGATAGGAAGTGTAAAGGCATTCTGTTGTTTCTTTTCCATAATGCAGACTTTTAAGTGTTGATTTTATCTTCTTAGGTAGAACTGAAGTTTCCTGCACCAGGCAAGCCTGGAAATTATCAGTATACAGTGTTTCTGAGGTCAGACTCCTATATGGGTTTGGATCAGATTAAACCACTGAAGGTAAGAATAGTGAGAAATGAATGACTTAGAGTTCCTAGAGATGGGGGTTCTAATAACCCTTGAGCAATGCCTGAGGAAGGTGTGGGAAACAGTTCCAGTTTTGAGATGGAGAGTATATATGGGAGGAAAAAGCAGGCATGGGCTTTCAGTAATAGTTGGGTTTTAAGGACTTTGAACCTCAACTGTAAGTTCCTTTAGTGGTTGCTTTAATGTGCTATAATATGTGGTACATTTCAGGGCTCTACCAAATGTGTTCCGTTTTCTTTAAAAAGGCTGGAGGGGGTGGGGAGCAGGATTCAGATTTTTACCACAGACTTTATTGGTATGTTTATAGATTTCTGAAATAAAGGTGGTTTGTTTTGTTTTATTTTTAATCATCTTGGAGCATAAACTTTGTGTATGGCTTGAAGCACACTTAGTGTTCATTTCCCTTGAGCTTTTCACACAAGGCATTCTATTACATTAGTGAGATTGAACAAAATCATGCTTACACTGTTAGAGTCAAGGAGCCGGTAAAGGGGAGTCATTGTTTCCTGCATCGACCATAGAGTTTTACTTCACAACTAATCTTTGGGAAGCAGACTTGAATTTTTCTTCCTTCAGCCAAAGAGTTGTAATAAGACACCACTCAGTATTGTTGCATAGGAAACATGACTGGTAGTACTTTATGCCAGAGAAGTACATTCTTAAATGGTTCAACTTCTCAGGGTCAAAACACCAAATCATATTAGAAATTTATCTCCATTTCTGTGGAAGTGGGTTTAGTATTTTCATTTGTAGAATGGAGTACCTTTTTAATGAATGTGCTGATTTTAGAGTTGCAGCAGCAGAATCCATTTCTTTGTGATTGGCGATGGCAAAAGAAAACCTTTACCAGGTATTTCTTGCAGTATTCCTTTCCAGATCTTTGATGTGCATTTAATTCTCCTTTATAGCTGGAAGTTCATGAGGCCAAGCCTGTGCCAGAAAACCACCCACAGTGGGATACGGCAATAGAAGGTGATGAAGACCAGGAAGACAGTGAGGGGTTTGAAGACAGCTTTGAGGAAGAGGAGGAGGAAGAGGAAGGCGATAACTAACCAGTGTATGCGTGGACCACAGCGTTTGCACATGCTTGCAAACATCTGCTGCTTTGTAAGTCCTAATAAAGCAGAAGCAGTGCAGAACTGATGCGGTGGGAGTGCTGGCGTCTTTACTAGAGATGGACACATCACACAGGCAGTTGGCGGGCCGTGGTACTGTCTGAAGGGCTCCTTGAAAGCCTTTCCGGTTTGGGGTGGAGCGACCATATCATCTGCAAATGATAATAAATCCTTCATTGTTAAAACTGTCCAGAAGCGTGGGCTGTGCATTACCTGATCAGTTTACGGTCTCAGTCAGAGTCAAGGTACATGAAAAACAGTCTTTGTTCAACTTTAGTTTTAGTAAACATTAAAATATGATAAACATCACAAATATGTTTTAAATAACATCTGCTCAAGTTTTTAATCTGTTAATAAGCTCTGTTATTCATTTATCAATATTTTACAAATGGTAAGATTGTAACAGTTCCATACATGAGTTCAAACCTTTATTTTTATCTATCTTGGCCATAACTTAGCATTCTCACACATTCCACACAATACAGAGGGCTACATTTTGGAATTTTCCGTTCTTAATTGCCCAGAGTTAGCAGACATGACAAAAGTGGCTTTTAATGGCTTAAGGCCTCTTAAAGCCTCCGTTGGTGTCTGCACAAAATCTCATTCTCCTGATAAGCTCAGGGCTGAAAGGGATTGTGGGACCACCCGTTCTCTGATGCTTGGGTCATGTTATCCAGTCTTTTGAAAAGGGTTACTATAAAAGCTGGACTACATTCTTAGCTTTTAATCTACCTGACTTCAGAAGCCTTTTAAAGAAAATAAATACAGCATACAAAGGAGGCATTTTTTTGTATTCATTTTGGACTCCTGTTAATAAAATAGAAGTTTGACTCATTTGATGTTTGTAATTGTGTTTGTCTTTTTACTCCTAGAGAAGGGCATAAATAGGGTAATCTTTTATTTTTCAACTCAAAGTTTAATATTGTACCTCACTGTGGAAGTTACTGCTCTCTCTGTATACTCTTGGAAAACCCAGGAGGAAGAGCTATTTCCTCTCATCAGTACAACCTAGAGGGCAGTGCTCAACATAGAGTAAATGTGTGTGTCATGAGTCACTGAGGTAAGAGGAATATTTTTATTACTAGATATGGAGGACACACAAGTCTACAATACTCTAAGATTGATTGCAATAATCCTATCAAACTCTCCATAGGCCAAAGTACTGTTGCAATACTAACTTATGTTTATTTAAAAGGTTGCTACTCTTCATGCAGAATTATCACTGGTATTTTGTTACTACAGTAGCTGGAAATAAAATTTGAAGATTACCAAAAATATGAATTTTTTTGTTGTTGTTCTAAATTTAAGATGTAACACTAAACAGTTGAAGTGTCCATTAGACCCTTGCTGAGCTACCGAGGGTTTGATTCATTTGTTTCTATATGTAAGGGGTGGGTTTGCCTTTCAGATCAGATCTTACTGGAAAGCTCCAGTGTTGAGTGTAGTTGCTAGACATGTCAGTGGGAGGGAGGGAGCAGCTGTGTCGGGAAAGGAGAGGCCCGAGGAGACTGGACAAGCAGACTTGGAGTCTTTGCAGTCCCTAGCTCGGCTGGAGTAGGTGGCTGGAGAAGAGGTCTCTAGTGGCTGTTTCCCTCTGAAAGGGTGTGCAGAGTTCATCCAGACAACTGGCTTCTCTAGTTTGAGATGCTCTGGTGAGGATTTGACAACCTCTTAACAGCACCGTGCTTACAAAACAGCATATCTTCCATGATTGGAAATTCCAACAATTCGCTGGTGTTTGCCTGTTTTGTGATGTGTCAACATCCCAACCTAAAGAACCAGTTTTCCTCTAACCAGGTATCGTAGGTGAAAGACCTCAGTTACGGTTTACATCTCTACTCAGTCATCAAACTCCACATCCCTTCTTTCTCCACAACAGAATTAATGACTTGTTTTGGTTTGCATTTAGTTGAAAGGAAAGTTTTGAATGATGCTTGTTTTTATTCCTAATTCAAAAAATTGACATTCTGTCAATAGACTAAATGAATATATAGATGAAAACATAGTATGCATATACAGAGCGAAATTGATTATATGAAATTAGGTTATTTACATTGTGTAATATTTTTAATCTCTAAATTTGCAAAGTATCTATCAAAATACAGCCTTCCACAAGGAGACATAACTGCCAGGTAAAAGTGTGGCAGGTGCAAAGGTTAGCATTGTAAGACCTGACTGAGGCCTCAGACTCAAAATTAGTTAGATGTTTATTTATGTTCTCTAAAATTTGTGATGTTTGAGAAGAATCGAGCACATTGAATGAGATTCTGCACATGGAGCAATCTCTTGTTCTCTGCTCTGCCTTTGCCAGCATGCACTGAGGGGTGGAGAAGGACAGGCTGTTGAGAGGTACCTCCTACTGTGTGCTGGAGAGCTCAGGCCCTATAGAGGGGAGGAGGAGAATGCCAGCCCCCGGTGTGGAACTAGGGAGTTGCATGTTAGGGATGTATTGAGGCTTTCTTAGCATGTTCTGGTTTCGTTTTTGTGTTTTTGAGACAGAGCCTCACTATATAGCCTAGGCTGGCCTTGAATGACGCACAGTGTATGTAGCCCAGGTCATGAACCTTGTGATCCTCCAGCTTCAGCCTCTTGAGTGAGTGATAGGATTACAGGCAAGAGCCACCACACCTGGTGTTGAACACATTCACTACTTTTATTCAGGTATCTGCTCCAGCTAGCTCCTACCATACACTGGAGTGTTGTTCATTAATAATCTGTATTTCAAATGCACTTCGGTACCCTACATGTTTTTGAGGGATTGTTTATCATGTATTTACTGAGTTTCCATGTCCAGGCTTTGTGACTTAGGCACTATAGCTATGTGGACCCTCTTTGTGTTAAAACTTACTTGGATTGGGTCAGGACATAGGTGGGAATTCACTTGAATCTTTTTCCTTTGGCACAGTGATATTTAGAATGCCCCCCCCCCCATCTTTTCACTAGGCAGAGGAATTATTACTACTACTACTATTATTATTATTATTATAGGGACTAGCTGTTGAGTTAGTTGGCCTTCATCCATCCCCTTTGGATAAAACAAGAGTCGTCCTTTGTTTTTAAATGCTTCTTTTTTGAAGCATTTTCTCAACTCTGTGAATACCCTATTTAGTCTGCCTTAAGGTGGAACAGCTATCGGTGAACTGGAGCATGCCATTCTACCAGCTGTGCAGTGATTAGTTCAAATGTGTCCCAAGAAGTTAGCATCGTCATCACTGAAACTTGACACTAGGGCTACTTACAGACATGAACAAACAAAACAGACGTGATTTTGTACATTTTCCTGTAACTGAGCTAAAAATCCAAATAGCAATCATGGATATGCTTTAGGACTGGTTTCAGGCAGGTGTGTACATCCCAGGGGTATGCAAATAAGTCCATTGAGAAAATGTTAAAATAATGATTCTTTGTATTTAATCTCATCCTTTTAAATTTCTATTTTTGTGTGTTTTATAATGTACATAATATATTGTACAGTTGTACACTTATATAATTTATAAATAAATAATACATTTATTGGTGCATTATATTTTTTTTTTCTGATTTGGGTGCATGATGAAAACATTTGGATACTACTGTTTTATGGTATAGCTAGGGTGACATTTCAACTAACCGGAGGCTGGGGCTTTGGCACTCTACCATTTGAGATGACAATGACATATTCTGATACCAGGAGGCAAGGTTGCATTTGCTGTGCCCAGATCTACCGTGGCCCCCAAGAGCAAAGACGGTGGATGCTTCTTGCAGTGTAGCCATGGAAACGGGGAATGCTGTAACTGTTAGGAGCTGTTCAGTAGCTGCTGCAAATTAAAGAGCAAAAGGCGCCCAAACCATGCATAATGGCGTCAGTGGCCACCACTTAGGTGTAAGCAGATTGTAAACAGCACAGCTTTCCCTGTACTTTTCAGCCTGGTTCCAGTAGAGGGCGACAGGATCATAATTAATTTTCTTTAAAGAATGTTTGGTGGAACTATACCAAAACATCAAAAATGAATTTTTTTTTTTTTTTGCAATGGACTATTTACATGTTTCCAGCTGTGCCTCAAATTCCTGAACTTATAATCCTCAAGTTTCTTGAGCCTGTTGCACTACTGTGCCAAGCTAAGAAACGTTTTCTGGATTCTCTGCACCTCCTAGAATTACCAGGTCCTCCTCCTCTGAACTTCTGTATCCACTCCCCACCAACCCTCATCTCCTTACCTGCATACTTCACTGCATTAACGTGCATCTGGTTGGAAGGCAAACCATTTGTAGCAAACTCCAGAAACTGCTGTGAATCCACTGTGCTAGAACCACAGAACTCCTGGAGAGAAGGGGCGGTCAGGTAAGAGGATGCTCTAGAACCACAGAACTCCTGGAGAGAAGGGGCGGTCAGGTAAGAGGACGCTCTAGAACCACGGAACTGGAGAGAAGGGGCGGTCAGGTAAGAGAACGCTCTAGAACCACGGGAGACTCCTGGAGAGAAGGGGCGGTCAGGTAAGAGGATGCTCTAGAACCACGGAACTGGAGAGAAGGGGCGGTCAGGTAAGAGGACGCTCTAGAACCACAGAAGACTCCTGGAGAGAAGTGACAGTCAGGTAAGAGGACGCTCTAGAACCACAGAACTCCTGGAGAGAAGGGACGGTCAGGTAAGAGGACGCTCTAGAGCCACGGAAGACTCCTGGAGAGAAGGGGCGGTCAGGTAAGAGAACGCTCTAGAACCACGGAACTGGAGAGAAGGGGCGGTCAGGTAAGAGGACGCTCTAGAGCCACGGAAGACTCCTGGAGAGAAGTGACAGTCAGGTAAGAGGACGCTCTAGAGCCACGGAAGACTCCTGGAGAGAAGTGACAGTCAGGTAAGAGGACGCTCTTCATACAATTAAATTTTTTGTATGATTTCAGCTATGAAGGGTCTGCTGTTTTTTCTCTTTGTGCAAGCTAAGCTGCCACAATGTCTGGGTTGCTAACTCTGACTCCCAGGTCAGGTACAACGTGAGCTTTGCATTACCCACAGTGCTCCTGTCCTCCAAGTTTCACGTAGGTGATTCCAAATGGCTTGGGTAGATGTTGTGCATGTCAACAGAGGAACTTTGAGCTTGGGAATCTAGCCCCTGAGAAAGGTGTGACAAACCTGTTCACTTTTTTTTTTTTTTTTTTTTTTTTCCCCGAGACAGGTTTTCTCCATTTTGGTGCCTGTCCTGGATCTCCCACTGTAGCCCAGGCTGGCCTCAAACTCACAGAGATCCGCCTGGCTCTGCCTCCCGAGTGCTGGGATTAAAGGCGTGCGCAGCTGCCGCCCAGCCTCACTCTTTACTGTTGGAACAGCAAACATGCCCTCTCGGTGAAGGAAATGATGTCTGTCTTCCATGGCTCTTGTCCAGACACACATCTGTGAGGAGGCAGTGTGGAACTAAAGTGTGCGTGTGTACACGCCCGGGTATTCGGGTGAAACAAATGGGCAGCGGCTTTCCAGCACAGGGAATTTTGTATGCACAGAGATATTACACCAAGAGGATCGGGCACTTACTTCAGGGGAATAAGTTCTTAGTAAAGAAAATTAACCTCTCACTTGAGAATTGTACATTTAAGCCTCTTGCAGATGTTTTGTCTTACTAACAAGGATAGTTTTGTTTCAATTTGAAGATAATTCACTTTCATGCAATCACTAAAAATCACCAGAACTTTGTAAATTGAATTCAGTCGGTTACAGTCGGGAAGGGGGTGTCTGAAAGGTGAGCGTTGTATCTGTTGTGTACAGTAGCCATAGACGCTTTTGATGATTGCCATCTGCACCCTTCCCTAGCACCCTGCTGGGTTGCTGTGAGGCCTCTGGTTGAATCGTCTAGGAGCTTTTGAAG